GGGTCATACTGAAAGGTGAACTGTCAGGCTGGAGGGAGGTTACCAGTGGAGTTCCTCAGGGATTGGTTTTGGGACCAATCTTATTTAATCTTTTTATTACTGATCTCGGCACAAGAAGTGGAAGTGTGCTAATAAAGTTTGCAGATGATACAAAGCTGGGAGGTATTGCCAATTTAGAGAAGGACTGGGATATCATACAGGAGGATCTGGATGACCTTGTAAACTGGAGTGAGTAATAGTAATAGGATGAAATTTAATAGTCAGAAGTGTAAGATCATGCATTTAGGGATTAATAACAAGAATTTTAGTTATAAAGTGGGGATGCATCAATTAGAAGTAATGGAGGAGGAGAAGGACCTTGGAGTATTGGTTGATCATAGGATGACTATGAGCTGCCAATGTGATATGGCCGTGAAAAAAGCTAATGCGGTCTTGGGATGCATCAGGTGAGGTATTTCCAGTAGAGATAAGGAGGAGTTAGTAGAGTTATACAAGGCACTGGTGAGACCTCATCTGGAATACTGTGTGCAGTTCTGGTCTCCCATGTTTAAGGAGGATGAATTCAAACTGGAACAGGTACAGAGAAGGGCTACTAGAATGATCCGAGGAATGGAAAACCTGTCTTATGAAAGGAGACTCAAGGAGCTTGGCTTGTTTAGCCTAACCAAAAGAAGGCTGAGGGGAGATAAGATTGCTCTCTCTAAATATATCAGAGGGATAAATACCGGAGAGGGTGAGGAATTATTTAAGCTCAGTACCAATGTGGACACAAGAACAGATGGATATAAACTGGTCATTGGGAAGTTTAGACTTGAAATTAGACAAAGGTTTCTAACCATCAGAGGAGTGAAGCCTTCCAAGGGAAGCAGAGGGGACAAAAGACCTATCTGGCTTTAAGATTAAACTCGATAAGTTTATGGAGTAGATGGTATGATGGGATAACATGATTTTGGCAATTAATTGATCTTTAACTATTCATGGTAAATAGGCCCAATGGTCTGTGATGGGATGTTAGATGGGGTGGGATCTGAGTTACTACAGAGAATTCTTTCCTGGGTATCTGGCCGGTGAATCTTGCCCACATGCTCAGGGTTCAGCTGATCGCCATATTTGGGGTCGGGAAGGAATTTTCCTCTAAGGCAGATAGGAAGAGGCCCTAGGGGGTTTTCGCCTTCCTCTGTAGCATGGGGCACGGGTCACTTGCTGGAGGATTCTCTGCACCTTGAAGTCTTTAAACCATGATTTGAGGACTTCAATAGCTCAGACATAGGTGAGAAGTTTATTGCAGGAGTGGGTGGGTGAGATTCTGTGGCCTGCATTGTGCAGGAGGTCAGACTAGATGATCATAATGGTCCCTTCTGACCTGAATATCTATGAGTCTATGTATCACTTTCCTAAGTGATGCTAGATTGTTTAGTTCAATTTACTAGGATGGAATTGTGCATTATTTTGTTCTTTTTCTTCAATAACTGATATGCCATTGGGTACACTATAAAATTCCATAGGGTTATCTTTTGAAGTAGACAGGAGCGTATTGAATTGGAAATGATAGAATGCACAGGTATATAAAAAATGTGATGTACCTCTGAACTGGAATTTACTTGCGCACACACATTGGATAACTTCACTACCCAGTGGCAGCCATTAAGTATGATCCCATGAAATCACCTTCCCACTACTTGCACCCTTCCTTGGCCCCAGTCATATCTTACATTGAAACATCAGATAAGGCAGCTTTAAATTTTTAAATTAGTAAATTAAATGCCATCATATGCAAAGTGACTGACTGAAAAATTGCTACCTTCTTACCCAACAGATCTGCTTCCTGTATGTACTCATCTCAGTGAAGTAAACAGAGAGAGAGATTTTAGTGCTTTTTTGCTTCTGTACTTCACTGTAGAGCCAATACAGCTGAGAAAAAGGAGAGCCGGATTCTATTCTGGTTCATGCACCATGAGCAGAATTTTTTGTTAACGAAGGTGCTGATCCTTCAAACATTTATTACTGCAGTAGTCCCATTGATGTCAGTGAGCAGTGAAGCATCAGCAATGACAGAGCTGCTTATGACTTCAGTGGGATTACTCTGGATAGTTCAACACTACTCTTGTTAGTAAATTTGCAGGATTGGTTCTTATATTCCAAATCTGGGATCCTTATTACTGGTAATCATATGAAACAAGAAAAGAAGCCAGCTAGGTTTTCAAATTCCAAACAGAGTTAAATAATAATATTGATGATTGGGCTGCCAGTTAGAAGAAAAAATTTCACTAATTAACAGAGTAATTATGATATGGAAATAATTGAGAAACTGTAATATTAAACCCCATAATGCCCTGTTTAAATTATTTTAAAACCTTTTTTGCATGGGAAGATGATTCAGCTCTTAAGTCAGATATCAGACTCACAAGCATTGCTCTGCCATTACTGATCCTTTGCAAATTCAGGGCAAGATAATAATTGTTGATTGTATTCAATGGAGCTACTCATAGTAGAAGGACTATGCCTGGTAGTAAATGTTTTCAGGAATGGATCCTGAACAACTAATAGGGACACAGCAGTGAAATGAGGATTTACACCTGGATGGATTTAAGTGGCATGCCACAACTTCTGTTAAACTTTAACACGGGGAGGAGTGCTACCCACGACCCATATTATACGTAACTGAGGGTAGGCTTTCCTCAGCCTAGCCCGAAGGTCTCAGCTTGCTTTGAGTCCTAGCATACTCCTTTCCCCTCTGCAAGGGGGACAGAGTGCAGAAGGGTGGGGACCTTGCCTATGAAGGCAACAAGGTATAACCTCTGTCTGTGAAGGTCAAATGCCACTCTATTCCATGAGCCCAAGGCCATCACTAAAATCCAAGGTGTTTTACCTCTGAGAATCATAGAATCATAGAATATCAGGGTTGGAAGGGACGTCAGGAGGTCATCTAGTCCAACCCCCTGCTCAAAAGCAGGACCCATCCCCAATTAAATCATCCCAGCCAGGGCTTTGTCAAGCCTGACCTTAAAAACTTCTAAGGAAGGAGATTCCACCACCTCCCTAGGCAACACATTCCAGTATTTCACCACCCTCCTAGTGAAAAAGTTTTTCCTAATATCCAACCTAAACCTCCCCCACTGCAACATGAGACCATTACTCCTTGTACTGTCCTCTTCCACCACTGAGAATAGTCTAGAACCATCCTCTCTGGAACCACCTCTCAGGTAGTTGAAAGCAGCTATCAAATCCCCCCTCATTCTTCTCTTCCGCAGACTAAACAATCCCAGTTCCCTCAGCCTCTCCTCATAAGTCATGTGTTCCAGACCCCTAATCATTTTTGTTGCCCTTCGCTGGACTCTTTCCAATTTATCCACATCCTTCTCGTAGTGTGGGGCCCAAAACTGGACACAGTACTCCAGATGAGGCCTCACCAATGTCGAATAGAGGGGGACGATCATGTCCCTCGATCTGCTCGCTATGCCCCTACTTATACATCCCAAAATGCCATTGGCCTTCTTGGCAACAAGGGCACACTGCTGACTCATATCCAGCTTCTCGTCCACTGTCACCCCTAGGTCCTTTTCCGCAGAATTGCTGTCTAGCCATTCAGTCCCTAGTCTGTAGCTCTGTTAGCTCATGTTAGTCCCCCAGGGGATCCTACCCATCCGTTCCCTGAGGGAGTCGAAGTTTGCTTTCCTGAAGTCCACGGTCCGTATCCTGCTGCTTACCTTTCTTCCCTGTGTCAGGATCCTGAACTCAACCAACTCATGGTCACTGCCTCCCAGATTCCCATCCACTTTTGCTTCCCCTACTAATTCTTCCTGGTTTGTGAGCAGCAGGTCAAGAAAAGCTCCCCCCCTAGTTGGCTCCTCTAGCACTTGCACCAGGAAATTGTCCCCTATGCTTTCCAAAAACTTCCTGGATTGTCTATGCACCGCTGTATTGCTCTCCCAGCAGATATCAGGAAAATTTAAAGTCACCCATGAGAACCAGGGCATGCGATCTAGTAGCTTCCGCGAGCTGCTGGAAGAAAGCCTCATCCACCTCATCCCCCTGGTCTGGCGATCTATAGCAGACTCCCACCACTACATCACTCCTGTTGCTCACACTTCTAAACTTAATCCAGAGACACTCAGGTTTTTCTGCAGTTTCGTACCGGAGCTCTGAGCAGTCATACTGCTCCCTTACATACAGTGCTACTCCCCCACCTTTTCTGAATCATTTTATTTTATCCACACTGGAAACTGGCCACAAGGGGTGCCAGCAACTAGTTTGGTCACACCCCACTCAGCCACTATGTCTGGTATCACAACTCCTGCTCAGACCATTCCCTCACATTCTGTAGCTATATGTTAGTGCCTGTATCGGACATCATCTCTGAAAAATTCAAGCCAGTTGTACCAGATGCTCACTGCTGGGACTGTCCTCTTTCACTGCCAGCCCTATCAAGTTTCCTCACCCGTGGAGGCAGGTGAGTGCCATTTCTGTGGCTGTCGCAGAATAGAATCTAGCTTATTTTTTTCTTAACACTGAATAGCCAACACAGCGAACAGGAGCAAAAAGCTCTAATAATGTGCCTTTGTCACTAAAAGCAGTAAACAGGTTTCAGATATAGCAGATCTGTCAAGTAAAGAGTTACTTTTTTCCTGGTTGTTGTGAAGGACTATGATGTATATTCAGTTGTACTAAAACGGACATTGTTTTAGATGACATAGTACAAATTCTACAAAAAGCACATTCACTTTTGCATGGCATCTTCCCTCAAGACCTGATGAGCTCCCTTCTCTTTCCTGAGCCCTAATTGGGATTCCTACAAATTACAGGACAGTTAATGAATCTTTGAAAAAAAAATGAACTGAAAAAATCTATTACACCGTTAAAATAACAGCACACACTCCCGCATCACTTAAAAAGTCCTGAATGTAGTCTACTTCTTCCCAAGTGATTGAGTGTTTGTTTTTATCATAGTTTAGTCTGTTAATATATTTTGATTGTCACACAATATTTTTTTTCTTTTTCAGGCCCTCCAGTTAATGTCACATGTAACATATTTATAAACAGCTTTGGATCCATTGCAGAGACAACCATGGTAAGGCATTTTACCTCAGAAAACATTTAAAATGCAACTTAAAGTAACTCAAAGAACTGAACAAGAAGTTAGGTCTTATTTTAGTTTGGAACTAAACTGAGGAGGAAATCATTTTTGTTATGGTTAAAATCAATAAATAGAATATTTAACTTAATAGTTGGTTTATCTGGTAGAAAATCCATCATTTTACAGTTACCAGGATGAAGAATGCACTTGTGAGGGCCAACAGAGATGCTTTTCATATCTTCTGTGATAGTTGTAATGAAATTTCATAATATGTGATTTTTTTTTAACTTTTTAATTAAAAAGTTTATTTTCTATGGCATTTTACCTTTCTAATAGCACAATTTATGGATCTAATAACTTTGTTAGTTATATGTTATTGTTCCATTTTATATAACAGATGGGGGCATACATTTTACATGATGAATGTCTTTATTTTCAGTAAAGTATTATTTACTATAAATGAAATGTAGCACTAATGTATAGACTACACAAAAGAAAATCAAATATTAAGACTCCAGTCCACCAGAAAAATATCCATAGCTGTCTGAACACTGAAAGCCTTAGAAGGCTATGGCGGCTGCTGACACAGTAAACTGATCTTTCAGGTAGAAAGCTACCTTAATGTTGTGGCTTCTGATGGGAAATTGGGAGCACTTTCTATGAATGCGCATCCTATGCAGATTGAAGAGGTTTCAAGGGCCAGCAGCCAAAGAGACTTATTTGGGTTGAACAGGGGGATAATACAGTGCTTAATTTGTAATGAAAGAGATGGGAGGGGGTAGGGTTCAAGCAATTTTTTTTACTTTCATAACTGATGTGGCAAGCCCAGAGATGCCAGGGCTATAAACTGCCAAACCTAGAGGTGTCAGGGCTCAACTCTGGCACAAATTAAGCACCAGGATTATTTAATCTTTAGCTGCTGTGGAGAAGTACTCAGGCATATCTCTCTTTAGCAGCTCAGAGGGCGAATTTGGGGGAAGCCATGGGACAGGTAGACTTATGTCTAGTAAGCAAGCAAACTATACAAACTCATTGGGGCTAACCTCCCTGCGAAAGGAGATGTTCAGCAGACTGCAGCTGCTACTATATACAGTAGTAGTCACGCATTAGGAGGTGGGAAGGAAATCCACTCTTCAGGAGCTGTTTGCTTGGACTTTCCAGAGGAAATGAGAATTTAGCCCTTAAATTTCAGTGAAATTTGGCTTCTGAGAGGTTTTTACCTAAAAGAAAAATGTGAGAAAAGAATGAAAATAACTTTGGAAGTCACACTAAGTGCTTTCCCATTTCTTTCATTTATGTATGTATCATATTACAAACACTGACAGCCATTTAGAGGCTACCAAACATTTCTAGAATATTTACACCTGTTAATGAACTTGACATCTTTTGTGTTGGCGTATACACAGAAATGCTTTTATTTAATGTCAGTTCAGAGAGCAGGATGGTCTACTGTACTGATTGCAGGCCTGGGAGCCAAAACCATGTGCATTTAATCTCAGCTTGGTCACTGATTTGCTATGTGGCCTTGCCAAGTCTATTTCATTCTCCATGCCTGACTTTTCACATTTGTAGAATGAGGTACAGATGTAGCAGAGGTACAGATCGATTGATGTTTTTAAAGCCCTTTTGAAAAGATAGAACACTATGTAATTTCCAGTGCAGTTACACACATTCTAATATAATGACAAACATATACTGCTTTTGATCCATGGACAGAAACACCACTGATAGCTATGGCAATTCTATGAGTAGACTGAGTGCAGTATGTGGACTTTAGACAAGCCAACTTTTATCCAGAAAATACCACTAAATTTGGGGCCAGATTTATGCCCTAAGAAAGAGTGTTCGGAAAGCACACAATCCCTGGATAGGGTGTGTTTAGGCAAGGGGAGGACCATTACTTCTTCTACCCATAGTGTGCTGGCAGGGTGGTGGGGAGAGGAACTGGCTACACCACTTTACAGGTAGCAAGTGATACTGCCTCTATAAGCCTCACTGTGCCCAGAAGGCATCAGGGCCCCAATCCAGCAAAATACATAAGTGTGTGCCTATTTTTAAGAATGGGATTAGGGCTTCTATTGGCATAAGATCTCCTCCTCAGCATTTGGCTTCTGAAAGTGTTCACTGCTCATTGTGCTTCCCTGGCTCTCGGAAGCCAAAACTGAATCTTAAATGAAAACATGGTCAGATTTGTTTCACGTACCTTGGACTCGTAATCCCCATTTTAACCATTTTGTCTCCATTATTAAGTTACTTTCGCGTTGTAAAAGGTTATAGTCTGCTACGAAAGAAGATGATGATACATTTTGCTCTGTTACCACCTTGGAAAGAGGTTAGTTAAAATAATTAAAACCTACAAATAATATTTAACCTTAGCTCTAATGATCTTTGAAAGACAGCTTCTAGATAGGAAAATAGTGATCTGTACACATTGTTCCCAGGCAAAATGAGTGCCAATAAATAATACACACTTATCATGGTATGGCATAAATAGACCAGAGTCACATACATTATAAATATAGGAAATTCCAAAGCATTGTCAGCATCATGGTATAGTATGTATTAACTTTTTTAGTAATGCCATCTGCAAACATGTTAAGGCTGCACAAAAAACTGCAACCTAGATTACATAGAAACTGGTGATACTACGTAATACTGGTAATTTGTTTGTAACTTATGCACTGATGCTGCTCAGAGAAGACTTTTACTTATGGTCAGTAGTTGTTAAACTCTGTTGGAATGAAATCAGTCATTTTAAAATATGAGCACTCACACATGACTTTATTTGTGACCTGTGATGACGAACAGCGATAACGAACAGCTCTTGAAAACTAGGACAGTGTTTATATCTTAACGTTACAATAATAACATCTGGCATTTTATTACAAACTGGATTTTTTTTTTATGGAACTGTGTTGAATAGGAGTCATCTTACAGTATTTTACTACAGTATTTGTTGTTTGTTCTGTCCAAGTTATGTGAAACACATCTGACTAGTTACCTTCTTCTTGGTATTTATTTTAAATCATGATGTATACAGACAATTTAGAGGCCTGTAACCACAATGTCCAAAATTGTATTCAAGTATTTCTTTCCAATCTTTGCATAAAGAATTTTAAGAGAAAAATTAAATACAAATTAGGAAAGTCATTAATTGATATCTGAAAGCATCTCTGGAAATTTAAACCTCTAAATGTATATTAATCTAATGGATTTGTTTTAAAGATATTTGCCTATGTTTACAGGAATTATTTTAGCAATGTGCCTGTAATCTATACTGTATCAATATACTGGAAATCTATATTGTATCTATGTATTATGGTTTTTAAGGTGATCAAAATCTTTGAGCTCCCTCTGCTGGCGTGGCTATGTATAACACAAGAGACAACTGGTTTAATTCAGGGGTGATGTGTTAGAAACCAGAAGTCTATTTCCATATTACTTATATCAATTTTTACACTGTCACTTCCATTGATTTCATTGAGGTTATATCATGCATGGAGCTGCAGCTAGCAAGAGATGTCAAGAGTAACAAGAAGGGTTTCTTCAGGTATGTTGGCAACAAGAAAGCAAAGGAAAGTGTGGGCCACTTACTGAATGAGGGAGGCAACCTAGTGACAGAGGACGTGGAAAATGCTAATGTACTCAATGCTTTTTTTGCCTCTGTCTTCACTAACAAGGTCAACTCCCAGACTGCTGAGCTGGGCATCACAGCATGGGGAGTAGATGGCCAGCCCTCTGTGGAGAAAGAGGTGGTTAGGGACTATTTAGAAAAGCTGGGCGTGCACAAGTCCATGGGGCCGGACGAATTGCATCCGAGAGTGCTAAAGGAATTGGCGGCTGTGATTTCAGAGCCATTGGCCATTATCTTTGAAAACTCGTGGCGAACGTGGGAAGTCCCAGATGACTGGGAAAAGGCTAATGTAATGCCAATCTTTAAAAAGGGAAGAAGGAGGATCCTGGGAACTACAGGCCAGTCAGCCTCACCTCAGTCCCCGGAAAAATCATGGAGCAGGTCCTCAAAGAATCAATCCTGAAGCACTTACATGAGAGGAAGGTGATCAGGAACAGTCAGCATGGATTCACCAAGGGAAGGTCATGCCTGACTAATCTAATCGCCTTCTATGATGAGATTACTGGTTCTGTGGATGAAGGGAAAGCAGTGGATGTATCGTTTCTTGACATTAGCAAAGCTTTTGAAACATTTCCCACAGTATTCTTGTCAGCAAGTTAAAGAAGTATGGGCTGGATGAATGCACTATAAGGTGGGTAGAAAGTTGGCTAGATTGTCGGGCTCAACGGGTAGTGATCAATGGCTCCATGTCTAGTTGGCAGCCGGTGTCAAGTGGAGTGCCCCAGGGGTCGGTTCTGGAGCTGGTTTTGTTCAATAACTTCATAAATGATCTGGAGGATGGTGTGGATTGCATTCTCAGCAAATTTGCGGATAATACCAAACTAGGAGGAGTGGTAGATACGCTGGAGGGCAGGGATAGGATACAGAGGGACCTAGACAAATTGGAGGATTGGGCCAAAAGAAATCTGATGAGGTTCAATAAGGATAAGTGCAGGGTCCTGCACTTAGGACGGAAGAACCCAATGCACCGCTACAGACTAGGGACTGAATGGCTAGGCAGCAGTTCTAGGACCTAGGGATGACAGTGGACGAGAAGCTGGATATGAGTCAGCAGTGTGCCCTTGTTGCCAAGAAGGCCAATGGCATTTTGGGATGTATAAGTAGGGGCATAGTGAGCAGATCGAGGGACGTGATCATCCCCCTCTATTCGGCATTGGTGAGGCCTCATCTGGAGCACTGTGTCCAGTTTTGGGCCCCACACTACAAGGATGTGGATAAATTGGAGAGAGTCCAGCGAAGGGCAACAAAAATGATTAGGGGTCTGGAACACATGACTTATGAGGAGAGGCTGAGGGAACTGGGATTGTTTAGTCTGCAGAAGAGAAGAATGAGGAGAGATTTGATAGCTGCTTTCAACTAC